CATAGAGTCATTAAGAGTCAAAATTGACCCAGTAACTAGGTATTTAATTTTTCATTTTAAAACAAGTCATCACACATCTACTCTACATAGTGGACAAAGTACAAATCCGTTAGGAGGAGACTTGAAAGGCAGGGTTAGAGAAGAGGCTTCCTTGATGTGAAAGTTAGGAAGGCACTCACTTTCAGGACAGTGCAAATACAGCCTTGAAGACCTACTCAAAATGTCTAAGTCAGGAGTCTCATTGGCTAGTCTTTATGCTAGTAATAATGAAAAACAACAGAAGGGCAAAAAAAATTTGCCAAAAAAAGACCTCAAAAATTCCACCAAACACAAGCTTTTCTCAGCTTTGCTAGCCAATCTGTGAAGGCTTGGATTTAGTGACCCATAATTAAGGTCACAGAACCACGACCAAAAATTAACTCATAGGAAATAGACAGATAAGTGATTTTATCTCAGTCAATTCTCACAAAGAAGTAAACCTTCAGATCTATAAATATATCCTTAATAATATCACTCTGAGGGTAAATCATGAAGAGATGAGTGTAACTTTAAAAAGATGTGAATTAAATGAAAAAAAAGGAACTGACATGCAGGTATAAAACCTATGCACAACAAGTAAAATTATCCACACTTATTCTTAGTCTCAATATCTTATATCTAAAGAAAAGTATATTTAGAAAAAAATTATGTTCTTTGAAGGGCAGCAAAAACAATGGTGGGTTCACCAGACATAATCAGTATAATGTAACAGCCAGTGACTTTCTTCCTCCTGTCCCATACACAGTCACGTGTTGTCATTGTTAGGTGCCATCGAGTCGGTTTAGACCTATAGCAACCTTATGTCCAATTGAACAAAACACTGCCCAGTGCTATACTGTCCTCACTGTGGTTCTTATGTTTCAGCCCATTGTTGTAGCCACACTATCAATGCAGCGTGTTGAGGGGTCCCACGCTTTCACTGCTCCTCTGGTTTACCAAGTGGAATTTCCTTCTCTAGGAACTCGTCTCACCTGACAATATGTCCAAGTACGTGAGACCAAATCTCATTGTCTTTTCCTCTAAGGAGCATCTTAGGGGTATTTCATCCAAGACAAATGTGTTTGTTCATTTTACAGTCCATGTTACTATCAATATTCTTTTTCAACATCGTAATTCAGATGTATCTATTAGTCTTCAGTCTTTCCTATTCAATGCCCAACTTTCACATACTTAACAGGGGTTGAAAATACCATGAATTGGCCCAGATACCCTTTGTCCTCAAAGTAACATCCTTGCTTTAAAACACCTGAGAGAGGTGATCACTCAGCTACTCCTGTTTGCCAGGGGAAAACATTCAATGTTTTACCATTGAATCAGTATTCCAGTATATATTTTTTCTGAATAAAAACCTCTTACCTTGCCCATTATATAGCCTACCAAAATATATTAGCTTTATTTCCCTATGTAAAGTGAAATATAATCCAAATTTCTTTATCAGCTACTTAATTTGATTTGTAAAATAAGAGTCTATACTTTAAACGATCAATTGAAGGAACAATGAAATATTCACAAAGGCAGTTGAAAGTGAATGTTAGTAAAAACTTAAAATGTCATAGGCTTTAAAACGTTTGAGTGATAACATACATAGAATCAGCAAAAGAATTGTCAGGATGCATAATGTGTTTAAAGTGTCATCAAGCGGCAATGAGGAAGGCGATTAAAAGTTCCTCTAGTGCCTCTGTGGAGTGTTGTATAGCTATATTTATTTAGGCCTGCACTGAGCATCATGGAAATGGTCTTACAATATATTTGATAGGAGAGTTTATGAAATTTAACAAGAAGATGTGGGACATACATAAATCATATCATTCTTAAAATG